ATTCTACGGAAGGAAATTTGCGATGTGTGAAAATTGCCCTTTTTGTAGATTTTCTGAAATTCCGCTCCGTAGAATTTTTTAAAAATCTTTGTGCATTTTCCTTTTCAAGTGCCAAAAGCAATCACTGAAAAAAATCAGGGGGTCACCGGGTTAGTTTTCGAATTATTTAAGCCACAAGCTAAAAAATGCGTCTGAATAAGCCTATGAAAGCGTTGCCATGGAAACTGCTAGTAACGAAATGACACTTATTTTTGGATAAACAATGATTATGTAATTCAACCCCGTAAAAGTGTTGAACTGGCCTTGGTCAGTCTTTCTGTTGTATTCTTTCAAAGTTACAAACCATCAAAGAGATGAAAACCGGTACGAGCCACCTTAAACTTTTTCGAAAAAAGTTGGTCGATCGGGAGATAAATCTGAATCAGTTCATTTCCTGTAGATTTTCATTGCCTTTAAAGGGTCGAATATATCTTTAAGAAGCTACTAGAGAGGTCCTCCGAGCCGAACTAAACAGTTGTAGGCTAAAACGCTCATTGAAAAAACATTTTGTCGTTCATTTCAGAATCGCACAATCCTTTCAACTGTTCATGCGATATTCCCTGTGAGGAGACAGAATACCTGAGCCAGGTGTCTTACTCGCAATTCCCAGATGATGGCGCATCCAAGGTCCTAAAATATATGCACGCTTACAACAAAAGCATAAAACATCAGAGGTAATTAATCAAATTAAAATGTACCGAAGAGGACAGTTATCAGTCTTAGCTTTATTCTTTTGGTATTGGTCCATTAAAGAATTCGATTGGTAATTTCGCCATAAATTGCTTCTTATCGACAACACCTCATCAGTACTAGATATACTAGAGGCTATCGTGCCTGTCCAAAATAAGATGGATGTTAGTATTTTTTAGCAAACAAGAGATCATTCATAGAAACGACCAATTTGCTGGCTAATATGCTGGATTTTAGCTGCAAGAGATAGAGGGTTGATCAGTGACACAACCTCTCAGTGAGCAATTGTCGTAGGTTACAAGCGTCAATTAATGCATGTCTTACTTTCTCCTAATGCCCATAATTATGGTGGTTTCAAATAAATTATTCATGTATTAGTTTTGTTTTAAATTCATTTTCAGGGAAAATTTAGTGTTCCTCCAAGTTGGATTTCAGCGTCATGGATATACTCTGATGAAAGAAAGTCCAAGTTACAAGATTGGAAGCTTAATGGGTACTCTAGAACTAAAACACATTGCCTTACTGTTGTCATTGTTTTTGGTGTCGTTGCTATGGATACGCAAAGTGATGGTGGACTTAATTATTATTTAGTATAATTTCGGAGCTGAGCAAAGAGTTTCCAGCAATTTAATTGGTCGAGCGGTTCCTTATATGACGCTATATAAAGCGCTCCGCGCGGTTTAATAAAATGTTAAAATAAAATGTTAGTAAAATGTTATGATTTTAGAAATTTTTCTGCTGTTCAGCTCTGAAATTATACTGAAACAATTATTCGCCTCAGGTTCAGTGTATATTGTCGAATAATCCCCTGGACTTCGTCTCGGGGATTATTCGACTTCGTCTCGGGGATTATTCGACGATATTCACCTCACCTTCGGCGAATAATTGTTAAAGATAGATAAGTAAAAAATCCTCTATTTAAAACACGATCAGAGTATAAGCATTACATGCTTGTGGGATCGTGTATCTAATTAATCCACCTAATTATCCTATAGCTAGTATGAAAGTGAATAAGATGTATAAAAAGACTGACTTTGGCTTTTAAGTAGACGCATGGCATCTTTAAAATTTAAAATCCTAGTTACCGATTTATCGCAAATCTGATTTCCCTAAATGTGGGGTCAGATTTTGCCTTGAATAAAACTTTTTAATACTACGTGAATTATCAAAATAGTCCGAAACACAATTCCACAGCACAGATCTTCTGTAATGAACAGAATTTTTCACGAAATGATGAAAAATCGTGGAACGATGGCCTTATGATGTCCTCTAACGTTACACGGACTATTCCGCCGACAGAAAACTCACTTTGACGTAGATTACGGATATCTTCGATAATCATAGCCTTTGTCTAATTTTTTTAAATGGGAGAGAAATCCTCCATATACTCCTTGTCGTCTTTTAATGATTCTTGATATTGAGCTTTAGGAAATAAATACAGTGACCGACTCGCTGGTACTTAAATTACGGTTAGGTTTATAATGGACGTGTATGTTTTGTTTCAGGTGATATCGGTGGGAATATGGGTCTTTTCCTGGGCTGCAGTCTATTAACACTTTTTGAATTTGTTGACCTGGCTTGGAACATCTTGGAATATCAAGCGAACAAGAAGAAAAGTGTTTCCCAGGAGAAGATGGGAAATGAAGCAGTATGAAACGATCTAATCAAATGATATTAGAAACTTATTACTGTTTATAATCTAACCAATATTTTTGCGCGCGTGTGATAGGTCATAACGCGTTACAAGACCGAATATTCTCCAACCAAAACTGGGGATATCCTAGGATATACCCCAAGTGATATTCCCCATTTTCAAACTCTTACGTCCAATACGGAAAACTCTGCGCTCAAAATTTAATTCAAGATGAGAAATTGCTGAAAGAATCTGTCCCAATGATTTATTAACACCATCCGTCTCAACTATTCAGAACTTACACAATTACAGATATGTTCTTTGCATGATGATATTTACACTAATGTATTGAAAATTTTAATTAAACCAATCCTGTTAAACGGTACCAGGTACATGCAATCCAATCAAACTTTACCTTCTAGATCCCTCTTTAAGAAAATTAACGGAAATAAAGAAAAACAGTCAAAGAAACTTCCACAAGATATTCTTCCCACCTACAAAAAATCCTATTCAGAATAATAATACACACAAAATTAATTTAGACTGCGGTAACATCAATCAAATGTTGATAACTAAGCGCGATATTATCAGTTATATTTAGATTATTATAGTAAAATTGTTAGCCATATGATAATGATCATAATGATGGTAAGAATACAACCAACATTACTGAGGAATAACGATGATGAAAACTGGAGATACATCACCAACAAAATGCGAACCCTTCGCAGATAGTTCAAATTGTGAACAATGGACTGTAGATGACCATACGAGATAACAATGTAAGGAAATAAATGTTATGACGGTCGTAATGTTTTCTTTACTTTACAGAGAGCCATTGGTATCTTTCATGTCCACATTTACTTGAAAAGTACGTTTTCTGATCCGGAACACGAGGGTTTCCCAAAAAAAGTCTAGGAACTCACACAACGTCAGTAAGCTACAACCAAGGAACAAGCCCATGTTGCCACCAAACTCCCCTGGAACAAAAAAAATTAGTTATGAATATGGCTTTATGTGAGTGATTAAAGGAAGATGGATCACAGTTGATCTCAATGTTCATGTACTTTAGCAATGCGATCACTGAAACAGAATAGAGGCCTTTATTGAAATTGGGGTGCGTACTGGAATGAGGGTGCCTACTCGGTGGGGGCGCTTATTAGAATAGGGGAGTTCGGTAAACAAGTTATTGTTGCTGCTTATTGGAGAAATTCGAGGGTGGCGCTTTTTTTAGAGAAGGAGCACTTATTGGAAGGCTGAGGGTGCCAAATCGAATCATTACGGTATCCATAATCTTAATGTAACATTCATCGTGCCTCTAGGTCTAAAAAAGATCTCGAGAATGTGATGGATGTTAGCACTGAAGGCTTTTCTACAAAACTATCTTACCAAACAGACTTTCGGTTCCATAGCTAGAAATGTCTTCAAGCCTCTCGTAAGCTAAACGCGTGAAGCCGATCTGGAGCAGAGCATAGTTTTCTCTGTACACAAAAAGATGGAATCAAAGTCACAAACAAGAAACATGATATTATTCATAGAATTGACCTATTTGCGGTCAAAAATTGCCGGTGGTAAGCTGTAGAAGAAAGATCTCTCAGCGAGCAACTGACTTAGGCTGCAAAGGTCTAAAAGCTCAAATAATGCATGTCTCATTTTCTCAAATTTCTTTGTCTATAATTTTCTGGTTTAAAATAAATTATCATAAATAAAATGAATAATGTCAACAAAAATCTTGATTACGCCCCTTTAGTAAGAACGTACCTCATGTAACTAGAAGTCTCTGATTTCCCCAAGAAGTGACGTAAAATTTCAATTGTCGAGGCATCAGGAAATTTGGAGTAAGAAACAGAGGATACATATTCCATTTCTGAGCATGCGTTGCTACAGTGACAGTCTGAGATATTCCAATCGCCTTAAAAATCAAATGAAATTTGTTCTTATGTCATTGAATAATAGGGCTGCAATGAAATTGGGTATTTGAATTACTTTAGGCACAGAGATATGATTATTCCACTTTGTAGAATATTATGATAACTGGTTTACTATAATCGTGCTCTAAGCATGAATCTCAGCCTAATTCAAATCCTACAAACAATCCTCTGTCAATTCAGAAAAAAACAGTAGACAAAATTTCATAAGTTCATCATCTACGGCCAGTGTAAATATATATATATCTTATTAACCAAGCGCGAGGGCCGTACTGGGAGAATATCGGCCCGAGGT